TGGTGTCACTGTTTACTGTGTGGGAGCATTCTGGTATCTATTTGCTCATTAATGTCATTGTTTCAAATACATAAATAAAGTTATGAACATATATTCTATTATAGTTTATTATTCTATTATATATTCTATATTATTCTATTATATATTCTATGATAATTGTCATAGTTTGGTATAGGCCTAGAAATACTCTGATATGGATACAAAATACATGTGTACAAGGTGTGGGACTTGTTTCTCTCCATCAGAAATACAACATTTGGTTTGGGGTCTCCTGTTTTGTCTTTAAAGCATCCCTCTTGCCAATCTCAAACGGTCAAATTTGACATCAGATTGAAAGACTGATTTTCATTTGTATGGAATCTGACTGATAGAGCATAATAGAGCCAAGGAGAGAACTAAAGATCAACAACTACAATCGAGCTTGGCTGTGTAATTCTCAAAATAATCTTGTGAGCTGACTTCATCCAGTTTTGTGGCTTTAAATGGTGTTTATATGCTGATGCCAGCCAAATTTACACCTTTATTTACATCCTCAGTGAAGACTTTTTCTTCACTTCCAGACCACATACTGGACAAAACTTGGGAGTCCAATAAGTATCTTAAACTTAACATGTCCACAGTAAAAATCCCCATTGTCTGTAATCTTCTGTATTGCGGTAAATCACAATTATATTCTGCCGGTTGCTCAGGCCAAAAATTTCTAGTCATCCTAGATTGTTTCTGTTCCAATCTACACCCAATCATCAATAAATCTTGATAATACTTTCAAAAATATATCTAGAATCTCAGCACTGTTCAGCACTTTCACACTATCACCCTTGTTCAAGATATTAAATCCTCTGGATTGGATTATTCTCAGTCTTTTAATTGGTCTCCTACTTTTGCTCAACTAAAAAGGTTGCTAACTCAACTTTTACTCAACTAAAAAAGTTGACCAAGGTGTTTGCTCCTCTTACCAGTCAAGTCCTATCCCTTTTCTGTTCTGAACCTCCCAGTGATTTCTCATCTTGGAGTGAACGCCAACATCCTCATAATGGTCTAGAAGATTGTACATGACTTGGCCCCCTGCTTCCTTTCAGATCTAACCTTTTACTACCTTTTCCTACCTTCCCTTTGCTCTAGCTACCCTGGCCTGCTTTCTGTTTCTCGAATCATCAGATGTTCTTGCATCTCAAAGTCCTTGCTTTTCTTTCTTCCTAGAAAACTCCTGTCTCAGATAGCTGCATAGTCACTACCTTAACTTGCTTAGGTCACTGATCCAATACCAACTCCCTGATGAGGTCCTCCATGACTACATCATTTAAACCGGACCTGCTGCTACATCCTTATACTCTCCATTGTCCTTCCCTGCTTATTTTTCTCCATAGCACTACGGCCTTTCTAAATATTATATATATTTTTAGTTATTTATTTTTGTTGATTGTCTCTCCAATTAGAATAAAAGTTCTCTGAGAGCAGGAATTTTTCTGTTGGTGGCCTTGCTGTATCCACCACATCTAGAACGGTTCTGCCACTGAGTAAATATTCAATAAATAATTGCTAAATAAATGAATAAAGGAATGTATTAAATAAAAATTATTTCAATTTGTCATATAAAATTATTAAGAATTAAATGGAGCATGTAATTGGCTCAATGGTAGTTGGATTTGGTAATTAGTGAGTCCATCAATAAATCGTGCTGGGAAAACTGGATAGCTACATGCAGAAGATTGAAACTGGATCCCCACCTCTCACTTCTTACAAAATCAGTTCTAGATGGATAACAGACTTAAACCTAAGGCAGGAAACCTTAAGAATCCTAGAAGAAAATGCAGGGAAGACTCTTTCAGAAATTGGCCTAGGCAAAGAATTTATGAAGAAGACTCCCAAAGCAATCCCAGCAGCCACAAAAATAAATAAATGGGACCTTATTAAATTAAAAAGCCAACTGTTAATATTATGTTCATTCCTTTCCAAATCAGGAAATTTGGGTATTACTGTATAGCATTTTTCTCAATTAGTGGTTTGATAATGCTTCCATAAGGCAATTCCTAGATTAGTCAACATTTTTTTCTCATTATACTACTTAATTCAACTCACAACTTTGTTCTCTTCTTATTAAATTAATATATTGGAGCTCTTTAATTTTTGCTGATGTTCAAAGGCAAAGTTATGAACATTCTGTTAATAAAAGAATCTTGACTATATATTAAATGAATGCATTATGATGAATATGCTAATTACCCTGTTCTGATCACTATAATTATCAATATATGTATCAAAACACCACACGTACCTATGAATATGTACAATTATTTACCAAGTAAAAATAAAATTATAAAATATTAATTAATGCATAATGTTGAGGATTTAGTACAAATTACTTTAGTCAATATTCTAATAAAATATTTTTAAAATGTTAAATTATGTCCTGTTTGGATGATTATTTGTATTCAAGTGACGGTGGTATATATCTGGGAAGGTTCTTCCATCTAGAATATGCAAAGAGCTCTTACAACTCAATAGTCAAAGATAAAAAACAATTAAAAATGGGCAAAAGATTTGAGTAGGTTTTTCTTCAAAGAGGATATATGATCAGCCAGTAAACACATGAAATAATGCTCAATATTATCAGCCATCAGTGAAATGCAAATCAAAGCCACATTGAGATACCACCTCACACCCATAGGACGGTTATCACCAAAAAGGCCGATAATCACTGTGCTGAGGATGTGAAGAAAGGAGAACCCTGATGCACTGCTGGTGGGAATCAGAATGTTGCTGCCTGTTAGGAACACTCTGATGGTTCCTAAAACAAGCTAAACAGAAAGACCGTATGACCTGGCAATTCGACTCCTAGATATAGACCCAAGAGAAATGAAAGCCCGTGTCCACACAAAACAGTTAATACAAATGTTAACAGCAGCATCATTCACGATGTTTAAGAAAAAAACAAATACATATCAGCTGATGTATAGAAAAATAAAATGTTTTATATATATCTCCATGCAATGGAATATTACTCCGTTGTAAAAAAGAATGAAGTACTGATACATACTATAATATGGATGAACCTTAAAAGCATTATGCCAAGTAAAAGACCCAAACACAAACAAATGACACATATTGTATGATTCCATTTATATGAAATAGCCAGAATAGGCAAATCTATACAAACAGACGTAGTTTAGTGGTTGCCTAGGGCTGAAAGATTCGAGAGAAATGCTGGGTGACTGCTAAAGGGTAGAGAGTTTCCTTCTGGGGTTCTGGCATCAGATAGTGGGGATAGTTGAAAAGTTCTATGAATGTATTTTTAGTATATTGAATTGTATACTTTAAATGGGTAAATTGTATAGTACGTGAATTAAATTTCAATAAAGCTGCTATAAAAACTAATGTTGGGGTACAGCATTTACTGTGACACAGCTGTGAAATAAATTTGCAGGTCAATCTTATTTATAGAAAATCCTTAGTTATATAATAACAATGTCTACAAAAACATTACTTTCTTTTTTAATAAGGCAAACTTCATTGGAGTATATTTAGAAAAATCTTATTCTAAGGACCACTGAAATTCTTTTTTAACTTATGTCAAGTACAATTTTTTTTCACTGGGCAATATGTGTGTCAATAAATAATATTTACTAGGAGTTGTACAGTGTAATTTAATTTCAGTCTATGACAAATGAGCTATGTTAAACAGTGTCGCTGGATCTTATTTTAACATTTGTGTGTGCAACAATGAAGTTGGAGTAGATACTCAGCATCATAGTGTATGATTCTGTACAAAGATGGTATAGCAAAATAATGAACATATGGGATGAGTTCTGTGAATGTTTGATTAATTGGTATTAAAATAATTTTGTATTACTTTAATTGCAACAAAACACTGAGTACCTTCTACAAAGAAAAAACAATTTACTTCATAGTTCTGTTAATCCTTTCTTTTGCACAGATTGAAGGCTTACAAATGTACAGAATAAAAATATTTCTATTCAGAACTCTGATAAAATTGCTCCTGGGAAACTCTTACTGTCCCAATTAGGCAAGTAGAGGTAAGGCAGTAAAAATCTACTTTAAAACACCATTGGGCATTCATGATTTCTAAATTAGCAACTTATTCCATATAGAATTAAATCTCAAAAAATAATTTCCTTTTTCTGGGTTTACTGGGCTTGGCGCATCACTTAAAAACCTATCAATTCACTTACAGAATTTAAATAATCATAACCACTAGCACACAGCGGAATGTACTTAGAAAATCAACATTTCATCTGCAATATCAAGTCTGAAATATGAAAAGATATGAAACACAGTACATTTTTGTCTCTTTAAATAAGAACAATGATTATGTTCACTGCTTATATTTTCTTTGATTATCCAAGTCAAAAACAACTTCTGTATTTCATGAACCTCTTTCAAAATAAACAAATAAGAACAAAAAAAAGGTTCTGATGATATAACTTTCTCCCATCTACCTTGAAATGCATATAAAAAAGTGCTTATATTGCATTAACTAATTTTATAAAAGTACTTTGTTATTCTTCCATAATAATTATAAAATCGTAATTTTGAGACCAGTTATGTACATAAAGCTTTAAGATAAAAACTTACCTCAGGAACAGAAAAAAATGGCTTTAAGATCTTATACTAATGACTGTCAGAATTCTTGTTTTAAAGGATTTCTTTTCATTTGCTGCATACGTATTAACCTTGAAAATAGAAATCATGCCCTAACCTTAGGCTTAACAAATGATGCAGACACTTAGAATTTAGGATGCAACAAATTATCTCAAGATTACTAAGAAAAGACAGCAAATCACCGTCAATTTTCTGTATGTTTTGGACTCCTTAACATGTCTGCATCTATCTATCAGATGAAGATAACTGAAACAAATACAAATATAGGTACATATCTCGCTGTATACCTTGGCTTGCTATACTTCTAAATCACATAACTGCACTTAAATTTTTTTTTATATAATTTAAAATACATTATCTTAAAGAAAAAATATACTTACTGCCCTCTAGAGGTATGAACCAGTAGTGTAATAAGAGTAGATGTTGCTGGGCAGATACAGTTTAAAGCTAACATGGCGTATTTAAACTCTTCTTCACAGACAACATGATCTGTTTGAAATAAAATAGGTAAATTAGAATAATTTACCTTGGGAGAATAATATTTTTAAATATGAAAACTAAAACAATGAATAAAATTGTGAAAGTCTCGATATAAATATACTTGTTTAAGAGATGTTTTTGCATGTGCAATTTTATCCCCACGAAGTATGTTTCCTAAGAAAAAGTATTAGAGTACGGGTTAAGTGATTGGGGCTAGGGGTCTAGCCCTAATTCTGTCTTAACAAAGTTGGCAACTTTTGGTAAATGCTTAATCTTCCTATGCCTCATCTTTACAAGGAGGTTGAGTCGTATGCAGGTTTGAGTACAATCTGAAAAATGTATCAAATACTCTATAAAGTCTCCTTTAATTCTGATCATTCTATGGTATGAAATATAACAGTTTTGATTTAAAGCAGTATTAATTTATCGAAGTCATAATGACAGCATAAATCTCAGAAAGTAATTATTAAAAGATGTAGTCAACAACATGGGCCTAGCATAGAAGTAACAGGTTTTAAACTATGAAAAAAACTGTAATATCAATCAATAAACATCAATGCTAAAACAAATTGAAATTGAAATTATACCTTAACCTCAAGACCTAAGATCATAAACTCAAAAGATGACAGGGTTCAGCCAGAAAAGATAGCACGTGGCAACTCAAGTGCGACGACGTAAAACAACAACAGCGCTGGCGGTGACAGCACGTGGGAGGGCACAGGCCACACCTCCAGAACGACGCCACTCAGGCCGAGTGCGTTACCAGCGCACAGGAGTGACGGCTCACATGCCAGGTAGTCTATCTTCCACACAGTCATTTATACAGAAGTGAGCAAATATTTTTATTTTGGAAAAAACAAAACAAAACCTCTCTATCCAAGCAAACAATTATAGCTGGTGTTCAAAATAAAGACGATGTTTAAAATTCTAAGAAAATACATATTTTTAGGCAGAAAATAGCATTTTTAACTGAATTAAGAAATAGAAGATTGAATTTGTCAGTGAGCCAGATCTATAAAATGAACACAGGCATCATACAATTTATGAAGAAACAAGAAAAGGTTACTTGGAAGATGGTTTAGCAAATGCTTCAGTCTGGCAAATATTGACCTTAGTCCTCTCCTATTTTAGCACATGAAAAAGCTCACTACTTTTCCTTTTGCTTTCATTTCCTTTTTTTTCCCCCTGTTTCACATATTGTGGAAGAAATATATAGTATGGTTATATCTTCGTATTTACTCTCAAAAATAACAAGGCCCTCCTAATAATAAACCTTTCTTTTTGCTTGTCAATATATAATGACCTTTAAAGAAAATTTAAAAAATATATTCATGATATTTAATGTTTCACAGGAGAGGTAAGCAGATTCTAAATCCAAATTTGAATGAGGAAAAATCTAAGAAGATTTGCGAAAGAACAGTGTCTTTAAAACACCACTTCAATATATTTCAAAATAATTTTTGAGTGTGTATGCCCATTCTGTGAAAGTAGAGTAACAAAACTGCTAAATGCAAGATGTTATTACTTTAGAATCATATGATAGCAATACGCAGGGGACCCATAAATTTCAAATTAAAAATTGAAACATATGATCTGAGAAAAATATATACATTTATTATGACATAAGATAGAATTTTAAAAATCCCCACTGCAACAGAAAAATTGGAAGGTGTGATTACCATGCAGCAATGCTGCATGCAATTATTAACTTTCCCTTGCACAAACCGTATTTCCTTCTGTAAGGGAATGTGAGAAAATGTAGTGCACGTGTGATACATTCAAAATACCTATCTTATTTTCCTTCAGTAGTTAAAAAAGTAAAAAAAAAAAAATTCCTCTTCCCTTCCCTTTTCCTCAGTCAACGTGCACATCTGAGTTTGCAGGAGGACGGCTGCAGGAAGATTGTGTTGCACTAGCTGATTTTTCAAGAACTATACTAATCAGGGGGAACCGGAAGGAAGAAAAAGACTGATAAACTTCAGGTAATCATTTTTGTATTTGCATATGCATTTTTCTATGTGAGTTAAAAGTTTCCAGTGTCCATCAGCCCTTTGACCTAAAAGTTTATAGACTACCACTAATGGTGGCAATTTTACACAGAAAGACAAAGTGCATTTTGCGCTGCTTTAGTGTATACTGAATTATCTAGGGATGCAACTGCTTTGTAAATTAAGAGAAAATTAACTTTACGTTTAGCATTGTATGTGAGTCATTAATATAAATTTAAGACATTTGATTACTATATATTATCACTGTCAGTCATCATCTGTGGATATCATGTAGTCATTGGTGAAAGCATCTTTTTCCACTGTGTTTTCTTGCGTGTTCATCCCTAAGCATTCCCTAATGAAAAACTTGCTTCTTCGTTATTATTTCCCTTCTGTTTCTCCTTCATATTATAATTAGGATATATTAATTATTAAAAATTTATGTGTATAGATAGTTACATTTATCCTGAATTTCATTCCGAAATAGTAAAGGAAGTGTTGCAAAATTTTATTGTAAAAAGGGGGTATTGGATCAGATACAATGAAAACTACTGTCTTAGATAAATAAGTTAATATATTAATATAATTATCATGAAAGTTTTTGTTAGATAAAAAGTAAAATCAGTATGTTCTCATTAAAAAAATCTATTTAATCTCTATGAATGGTATACACAGAGAAAGGGATATGATAGAATATTCAATTGGATAATAATCTTCATTAGCATATGTTACAGAGAGCTAAAACTTAACCTGCAAAATGGAACTGATTATATCTCTAGACCTCTCCTCTCAGGTCCAAATCCATCCTTCCTCTTGGGACATTTTTTAATACTAACCACTAACCCTTAACCTGAATTAAAAAATTGAAAATATTTTTTCATGCTCCCTCATTTCTCAATACCGTATGACAGCCAAAATTTATTGATTATACTACTAAAGTGCTCTCTCTCTCTTTTTCCCCATTTCCATTCTCACAACTTACTACAGATTTCCAATCCTTATCCATTAATTCTTAAGGGTCAGATATCAGATTTCAGAATTTAAAAAAATTCAGATTTTAGAAAGGTAATATGTATCATCTACCAATTAATTTCAGGTTAGTTGATATTTTCTCACCAAGAAGAATAAAAAACCCTTTCAGAGTGTTCAGGATTTTGGAATTCCAGCCAGCCAAGAGGCTGTGGACTGTTATTCCAACTCTGATACTCTCACCTAAGCTAATGCAACAGCTTCCTTCCTAACTGGTCTTCATGTCTTCCAACTCTTCAGCATTCCACTTCATGAAAGTTGATTATATGAATTGGGTCACTCTTGTCATACCCAACTAAATCGGAGTCGAGGAGCCAGGGCTAAAAAGCACTCGGAGCACGTGGCACCTGCTCCAAGAGTTTAATTTTCCCAAAGCCAGCTACTAAAATGGCCTGCTCTGACCCTAAGACCAGTTTTACTAGTAGCCGCTAAAAAGACCTGCCATGACTTTAAGACCGGTTTAACCTACCACCATCCCTCTCCAACCAGGGCTTGCCAGCTCCCCAAAGCTTCTGTAGTGCCAATGAGCTTTCTTTCAAAACAAAGCAGAACATTTATCTTTTTAATAAAACCGCTAAACTTCTCTTTGTTCTCTGGAAATAGCAAAGATCACTACGATCTGCACGTATGCCCCGTGATTCTGTGATTCCCAAATAAAACGTTTAAATTAGAGATTGGTCTCTGTATTTTATTTTGACTTTGACAACCAATTACACTTCTAAAACTAAGATGTCCAATACAGTAGCCACATGTAGCTGTTTAAATTTAAATGAAAGAAAACTAAATACAAATAACAAAATACAGTATACAAAATACAGTATCTCCATCATACTAGCCACATTTTAAGAGCTCAATAACACTTGTGGCTACTGGCTACAGTACTGGACAGTGTAGATACAGATATTTCCATCATCACCAATAGTTCTAGAGGACAGTCCTGTTTGATCTGCCAAGTGAATTAATGACCTTCCATAAATCCTAAAACATACAGGATATATTTCAAATTCCTTAAATGTGATTCATAGACAATCACAATTTGAGTGATCTTACTAGCATGATGTACCGCCTTTTCCGTGCCCCTTCTCAGCCATATTGCTGCTAGAATTGCTCATCTGTAATAACAGGAGAGAAGGCAGAACATATGGGTATAAATGCAGGTTGGTGGGTAGATGTGTTGGTGGAAGTTTATAGAAGTTTTGTTTTTCTTCCTATGGTTTTTTTTTTAGTGAAACAGGTAGAAATGATGATTAGGGAGGAGTTTGGAGTTGGAAAGTTGCAGGTAGTCTCTTCCTCGTTTGTTTTGTTTCCTTTAGCCACATTCAAATGCATGGCAGTTAACACCAAAAACCCAGAGAATTATATTTAACTAGGGTTGACTTTTGACATACAAGTAAAACTAATGGAGAAAGGGTCAAGCAACTGAGAATAAATTGACGGTAAGGATTATGATGATGTGCTGTGACATGCAAACAGGCTAAGAAGGGGAGACAGGACCTGTGGGTGAACGATAGTGAAAATGTTGTGGGAGAAAGGAGTCGTAGGTCCCGTGTCATCACACAGTTGAGGGTCTGTGTTAGAGTGTACGAACCAGAAAGACAGGAGTGGTGGTCAGAGGGAGGCTCTAGGATTGGGGATGGCAGAGGGGTCACATTTACTGGCAATAACATGAGCCATGACACGATCTGGAAGTAGCTGCTGAGATGGGATGCTTGGCAAGAATACTGAAAGGAGGGAAATTATAGAAACACGAGTGTAGGGGATTGAAAGAACCATTTTCATAGCTATCAATATCATCAAGTATCATGACCAAGAAATGTTGGGGAGAGTGACAGCAAGCTAGGAGACTAAGCACTTTTTCAGGATTATCAGATACTTATATTTCCCTTTTCAGACATTTTAAGTCATAAACTACCAATTTTTATCAAATAATTTTCTAATTAAAAATAAAACACAAAGTCATATAAAATTTAAGTATTACAAAAGTGCATAATG